GAGCGCCCGAGCGCCTTTTGCAATCACTGTCTTGTATGCATCTTTGAATGGACTCCTTGATACCCAATGCAGCTCACTTGAACCTTAGGGTCTCGTGGATACCTATGTGCTTTTACATCTTTATTTCCTTTTGTCTGAAGAACTCTGCTCTTACATTTATAAAATTCCAAGTTTTGCTACCACCTTTAATATCTGTTTCATCACCAGATAATTTGTCCAAGCTTGTTTTTCTTTTCATCTATAATTGTTGAAGGCTTGAAGCAATCTACCTTTTTTCTACATGAGGTCATGTTTTCTCTTATGTTGATGAAGTCTGTAAGTTAATTCTTCTCTCTTAATTGGTTATTAAAACAATGAATCGATTGTCGCAAGTCTTGGTGAATTTTGCTTTAGCCCCAGGGGCCTTTCAGGTGTATGATACCTGTAACCTGCCTATCGTGGTTCATGTGATTTGCTATTCCACAGTTGACTTTCTGAGCCTATATATCACTTTCTTATTTCTTTACTTCATGAATAAACAAAAAAGTTGCAGGTTTTTCTCCCGGGTAACACGACCATATATCATTTTATATAGTATAAAATAATTCATTGTCATTGGCAAACTAAGACTTTCTGTCACATTCTAGCTTAAGATGTCTAATTAAATCTAGAATAAATTTAAAGATCAACTTTTTTTATTTCTTTATTTTTTTTCTTGATCTTAGGCCTTGATTTTAATGTGTACATAAGAATAAAGATGAGAATTGATGATTTCAGCGGTAGAAAAATATAGGAAAAGGTGCATGAACTTTGAGGTTTTTCTAGAAAAAAGTGGAACATCTTGGAATCACTGTGTATTACTGTCTTGTGAAATTGCAGCAGCATATAGCTACTCTGAATTTATGATAACCTGCAGACCAATGAACAGCTGTGTTATTTTGGTGTGCGCTATGGACTTTTAACTACAGGAGCAATTGGGTTTCATATAGTTGTGAATGCTATTCATGATTGATATCTTACACAATAGTGATGCTGACAAATCACTCATTTTCTCCAATATGTTGATGTACTATTTTCTATACTTTTTTCATCTTTTAATGCATGACATGTCAAAAACCTTTGCAGTGTGGTCTGAGATTACTTTATTAGCTCCTAAGTAGTTACTTTCTTTATAGTTTTGTATCATATTTTGCTTATATATCTGATTGCTAGTTTGGAATTTTTTGCAGGTTGTTCGAACAAGTCTCATGTCATGCTTGCTAAAGACTTTAAAGCATAACATAGATCACCCAAGACCCATAAAGGTACATACTGAAAATTTATTAAAAATTCTGTGTGGCCTAATGTTTTGCTGGACCACCTTTGTCTGAGTTGAATATCCCTCCATTTCAATTATTTCTTTGTAATTTGAGCTGTTAGAATTTGTTAGGTTTTTATATTGTCAAGATACTGGATTAGTGATGATATTGGCTAATTGAATAGAGAAATTCCTTTAGATATAGCATTGTTTCTTGTCAAACTCTCAATTGTGGAATTTTCATTTGGATTAAACATAACTAGCGCATTCTATGTATTTTGTAATTTAAAAGAAGTACCATGGTTCAAACATATCTGACACATGGCAGGATAGAAATTGAAGTCAATTGATTACATCGTGTTTGTTGTATGTCCATCTATGATTACTTTGCTGGCATTTTGACTATTTCTCTTAAAATACCCGTTCACTAACTTTTTGCTGATATTTATTTTCCAGTTTCATGATGAAACACCTCTCATATGACTAGAAGCAAGCTTTTCTTTTTTTGTGATATTCAGTAAATAAAGACTGCTGTATGTGTTCTATATGAATTTTTGCCAATTTGTTGCTGATAATTGTAAAGGATGAAGGTGCCCCATAGCTATTGTAGGATTAGAATTTTATGAAAAATTCCTTTCGACATGTTGTGTTACTAGCCACGAGACTTCACATATATATTATTTAAGATTTGTGCTTGAACTCGTAACCATGGACAATTTATTAATTCTTTTTTTGTGAGTAACTAATCATGTCAAGGCTTAGAAATTTGGCCATTATCCAAGTCTTTTTTTTCTTTACAATATTAGGGGGTAAAATGCTAATTCAGATGTTTGCATCTATGATTTTATTATTCTCGCATTTTGAACAGGAAACAGTTATCCTTTGTAATTGACCGAGTATAGTCTTGGAGAACATCTGCGGATAGAATGTTATATTGTGTTTTTGCATGTAACTAATAACTCTGGTCTCTTTCTTGCATGAACTTGTACATCTTTTGAGTCCGTTATAATCACAAACCATATATATTTGCTGTACTCTGACTGCGAAGCTAAGCTCTGGTTTTGATTTAGATCTTTGAAGTTGGTGATGTTGTTACCTTGGATGGTGATCGTGATGTTGGTGCAGCAAATAACCGTCGACTTGCAGCATTGTATTGCAACGTTTCCTCAGGCTTTGAGGTATATCTCATATAATCAAAAGCATTTCATTGTCAAACCCTTCTGTAAATGGATGAAAGTTTGTCTTGCATATTAATTAAAGTTTTTAGGTTCTTTAGATTAATTTCTTAAATGCTTTTAGTATTTAAATTAGATTTTGCCACTTTAGATGATTGCTTCTTTTGTAAATGAAAAAGATGAAATTTTAATTTATTAAATTTATTTGGAAATATACGTTATGGCATAAATAATCTTTGATGTATGGGATAAGATGTTCTATCCTAATAGTAGTAAATCTAATATGGGCTGGTCTGATGTCTGCCCAGGTTGTAGTTGAATTTATAAGGCAATCTATTAATTTTTTCGTGACCAGTTCTTAACACGAAGCAAAGCTTGATTCATGTCCTGCACAGTACTGCTGGTGTGTTACTGATGCAAGCCTCTGTTTGCAAAATTACGGACCTTCACTTTCATGCATATATAACCTTTTGCATACCATGTAAATACTCTGTTCTACTTCATATTTATTATGAACAAGAAACATACATGTAACCTGCTTCATTAGAATCCACCAGATTTATTGGCTGAATTAAATCAAAGTTCATCCCATCCATCAACATTTGTTTTCTTTAGTTTATAACAATTGCATCACATCTGCAGGTCTCAAATCTATTTATGATTGTGAATAGAAGCCTAAGGTCTGATTTCTGATATCTGCATAACAACATTCTCTTTTGATATGAATGTCCCTTAAAGTTTGAGCTTTTGTCAGCTACACAATATTTTTTTCTTTTTCTGTTCTCTATCACTTGACCTCCTAAGCACTTTTCGGAACCCATAGTCACAAAATCCCTATTTCTTCGTCGCTTGTTTTTCCTTCTTTCATTTTAATGGTAATTAACCAACATATTCTATCCAATATAAGTAGAGTGTATGAATGTTTTCTGAAAAAATGTTGGCAGCGTTATCTCATATTGGAATATTTTTAGTATTTGTTGATAAACTATATAATAAACTTGTAAAGAAAGCCAAAAAACCTGACCCTGATGGGATAACTGACTTGTAACTTGACTCATTAACTTTGTAGCACGTGAACCATTGACTCAGAATACTTAAACCCAAACTATTGGTAGTAGACCCATCTAGCCCTTATAAATCCATTCAGATCGTTTCCTACCTGCAACGTGCACTAAACCGGTGTTATATGTGTTGTTTCCATTCAAGATCTATTGGCTTATCTGAATATCAACTTACTGTAGGCTGAACTCCAGTTTTGGGTTTTGATGGAAGACCAGTGATGTCAGTGTGGACCAAGATAAGCTATTGCCAATTTTAATACACGTGTGCTACATATATTCTTTTGATAGGCCAAATTAAAATATTGCTGTATCGATGTTGCTAACCTTCTCTGGATGGCATATCGAAACCTCGTAATATTCATATAAAAGATCACAAGTAAGAGTTATACAGGCAGTTAATTACAGGACCAAATTGTATGAAGCTAGAAGATTGTATTATAATGTAAAGATATAGTTGACCTCTCATTATTGAAGTACCTCTGATGAAATTGCATGTTAGCTGTATTGCATATAATATAGTAACAGATTTTGTTAATTTTAATGATTTATTTACTTTTCACATTATGAGTTCTCTGTTTGTTTGAGTGACTGTATCTTTATCAAGCATGATTTGGTAAGGAATTATAATGCACACTAACGATGTTAAATTCATTATGCAGGAAATTTTGGGATTGGTGGAAAGAATCATGAAAGTTGTAAGAGCACCTCATCTGCAAATTTCTGAAAATTATATTATTCCTTCAGATGTAAGGATGTGCTTTATGCCCTATCATTCTCATTTTTTGCCATCACTGTGAGATTCTTAATTATATGATTACCTGGTCACTGAAGGAACCGGAATATTTTCCAAATAGACAATGCAGCATCATATTGAATGGAAAACAAATAGGCAATTTTGGGATTGTTCATCCTGAGGTACTTTGCAGAATTCCTACATAGAAAACTGATATCTGCAGTGCGCTATATTCTTTTTACAATTTTCCATTGTGTTATTTATCTTTTTCTTTGTGTGTGGGTTGTGTATATATATTTATTCATACAAAATAGTTTATAGATAATCAGGAAATCATGATTTGTTTACTTCTGCATCTGGCCTTTACATAGATATGAAATTGTTATTAGGATCATCTTAAGCTCTCATTTCTTGCCTTCTAGTTTATGAAAACTCAGATAGTGATGTTATTCTTGTTAACTTTCCCTTGGATAACATAATATGTCAAAAATTTTAGGTTCTCTTCTGGCACCAGCTTATGGTGATTTATTTTTATAAGCAGGACATGCTTTTTAAGTTTAATATTATTGCCATGTGTTTTTTGTTGATGAACCCAATCTAAGCACCATTTAGTGGCTAAGGTCCATGTCTTACTCTAACTGTTCATTTGAGCAGATTGCAGGACTAATCCTCTAGATAAAGAGGCAAAGTGAGTTAAAAGTCATTTTGAGTAAGCTGTACTAAGATCAAAATTATTAAGCACTAAGTAGTAGAGAACACATCATGGACGTAAACAGAGAAGATTTTTAATTAGTGAATGGCAGTTGTGTTGCCTCATTATGTAAATGGCATTACAATGTTCCCATTGTGCATAATGTTCTGATCATGAAACATCACTTTCTCCAAGCCCAGTAAATGGGGAGGGTGCTCTAGGTAGCTGGGGGAGTATTCTTGTGTCAGTGAAATGAATATTAAGCTTTACCATGTTAGCTGGGGGAGTAGTTGATCTTATTTATAATACTGAAATTACTGACAATACCGGCCCTCGATGCATCGATAGTGCTACACTACATTTATCGTACATTATGCTCCAGCAATCACTACTACGTGTGCATTGGCAAATAGCAGGCACACAAAGCATGTGACTATATTCTGTTTGATATTCCTTTCCTGAAGTTACTACAGAGTATGTATGCTTAACATTGATGTATGTGGGTATAATATTTTGCAGGTTTTGAAGAAATTTGGTATTCCAGACCCTTGCTCTTTCTTGGAGATTGACATCCAAGCTTTGTTGTAGGGTAAAGTATTTAAGGTACAAAATGACATGATCCGCTCATTCTTTTTATGATGAGTTATCTCAGTTAATGAATTTGGAGAATGCTAGCAAGAGTCAATACTATTACTTGTGACAAACTCCAGGCTTATTACAGTCGAATGCATGTAATTTGTGTTTAATAGTACTTTCCATGCCAATCTGACTGCTAGCAATTGGTAATTTTTGGATTGCTTTATTGCAGTGTATTTTCAAGCTTTATTGATATTGTCTACGTTACAAACATTTCATGTTACTCTTTTCCACTTATGCATGCCTGCTATGTGGTTTTAGAACTCATGTAGAATGAGTTATGTATATGCTGGTAGATTCGGTTTTATTCTACCAAGGTTTTAAGATACTGGTCTGCATTCAGTTGCTGTAATCTATTAGATTGGTACGGTACCATCTAATATCATTGAATGAAATAATATAAATAAATAAATAAATCATATCATGTATCAATATTGGACTGTACATTTGAATGTCCGCACTTGGTACTTGATTGGGCCGATAAAACTAATAACTACATAGTAGTAGTGCCATTGGTGTTTAAAACTCTACATTTCAGATGAACAATTGTCTCAGTATGTGTTGGGAGTATGCTAAAGGAGAAATAAAATGTTCCATAAAACATTAGCAAGATATATTGCAATCTGTGATCTATGGCACTTTTTATCAGCACAGAATCCAATCTGTTACTTAGAGATTCCATCATCTTTATGGGAGTGGGAATATTGGAATAGCAAAGATTCACATAGCACAGGAACACAAGGTCATGGAACAAAGTCAGATTCCAGGTGGAAGTAACTCCAAATTCATGCATGGTGGAACAAGTAATCTTGGGAAGCCATCCTGAGTACATGAGTTGTCTCATTCCCTACAGTCTCAATCCAGATACTTTATTCTACCATGAGCACCCAAACCCTCAACCATTGGTAGAATCATTCCTTGGCAACTTAGTCTGGTTTTATGTCCACATCCCCTTTAAGAGGGGATGGGGATGATGAATCTTCCAGCAAAAAGAAGCTTTCAATTCAGAACTCAGCTGAACCCGTACGTCAGTGCCATGATTCACAGGGAAACTTTGTCGATGCAAAGCTTTCAATCTCGACTATGGCAATAAAGTTGTGACAAGGAAACTTAATGTGTAATTATAACTATAATTACGACTTAGGAATTATAACCTAATATGTGGAATTATAAGTATAAGTCATGCTCACTTAAAAGAAAGTAATGTTTAAGAACTTTCAGAACTCAAAGGGATCATACCGCAGCTTTGAATAAAATAATGCTCGTAATCCTATCCTAGAAGCTTACCAAGGTCAACTAAGACAGCAACAACAAGCACAATACTTGATGCAGTTTAAATTGTCAACAATTAAGTAATCTCCTCCAAGGCCTTGCAGGAAATTAAGGTACACCACTAAGGTTTTCAATATTTGATTAAGACTTTGCATGCATTTTTCTAAGATGATAGAAAGATAAGGAATCCCAATTATAGAGACAAGCCAGCAAGCATGTTATAAATGCACAAGGACAGCCTTTCAGACAGTGCATAAGAAAGCACGAAAGCAGAAACATACAAAAGAATAATGGATTTGATAATGGCAGCAACAAAGTTCAACCAAATGTTACATCAGATGGAGAAAATATGCACCAGTGGTTTGATCAGAACAAATCACCAAGCATCTTTTCTATTAGTCAAATCCCCAACAGACTCAACCCCACTACTGACCCAATACAGTAGATACCATGACAAACATTCAACAGAAGTTAGATGAGTTCATTGCAAATAAACAATATGAACTTTGTTTTTAGATAATAATACTAGTCAAAGGTGGGAAGTAGAGAAAACTCAAATTGTAGGGGAGAAGTTCACCTGGGCAGATCTGGAATGACACAGAGATGAGCTTTCTTTGATGTTTTGGACCTTTTAGAACTCTGCTATTGTAGTAATAACAAATCCACTTCTAAAAACCAAATGAATCTCTGATGATTAAACCCTTCAACTTCTTTCCTCTGGTTCACCTTCCCAACTAACCAAAAAAATGTTATTTACTTTGGTCGTTAACTACTACTACTACTACTAGCAGTTCAGTGAATAACCAACTCTTGTTGTTAGATTACCATTTGATCGAGCTGCAACTGATCGAGCCAGGATCCAAGGAGCGCAGCTTGATCAAGGTCATCAGATTGACCATCTCGATTCAAACCTTCAATTCCATTAGCATGCGGCGAGCTGGAAAGCCCAGCGGGAGCTCCTGAAGCAGCGACCACGTTCTCGGTTGGGGAGTCTCTCACCAAAGAATGGACCCAAGAGAGATCGGGCTCCTCACCAGTAGCTTGCAGCTCAAACGACGATGGTTGCCTGAGACAGCCAAGCTCTTCGCCGTTCACTTCCCAGTCGAGCGACGAGGTAGGTGATGCCCACTTTAACCACGAATGGTTAACAGGAGAACCAACAACCGGGGACGTTCCGGAACCGGCATCACGAGAGCTCAGGCTTCGCAGCATCAGCTTCTGCTTCTCTCTCTGAGCAAGCAAAGATAGATGAGAGCTCACTGGAGAGATGGACTCCATGTTTCTTGGAGACATCCTGACAGGTGAAGAAGCACCGAGGGAAGCCTGCAGCAACACAGAGTGTCCTGGCACCTGCTGGCCATCCATGGATTTGGGTGAGAAAACTGTGTTTATTGGTGACAGCAGGCTCTGCTGTTGCCGTTGAAATTGATTGAGAGCAGCAGTGATGTGAGATGGCGAAAAGATAGCCCCCTGATCCGAGTTATACTTGGGAGATGAGGTTGGCTCAGCTGAGAAAATGTCATCGAGAGTGAATGCCTTTGCTCGAGCAATTGGACTTCCCAGAGATGAGCTCAGGCGAGAGTGGCACATTTCGTTCAGCAGCTGGTGACCATCGCATTCAGGTATCGCAGAGAACTCATCCACGGGCATGTCCCGTGCACTGAGAGACGCACGCAGCCTGCTTGACTGGAGATTGCTCCCGGGAAGATGCACCGCAGGCATGTTGGAATGTGCCCATGAGAACGAAGAATGACCGATTCCATTGGCGGACGGGGACATGGGTGGCGTAAAAGGCGACATCACAGAAGAGACCGAAGACGACGACCCAGGCATGAGGCTCAGCGCTGCAGCCATCTCCATCGCAGCAGAGGCCGATGACAGTGGCGACGGTAGGGCAGAATCGGTGGCCGTGTGAAGCGGCCGGAGCTCTTCGTTGGTGTGGGCGAAGAAGCAGACACGGCGAGAGCAGCTAGTCCCGTCCTTGCATGGCCTCGTGCGGTACTGCGCCGGGTGAAGCCAACACTCGAACACCCCGTGCGCATACTCGCACATGTCGCCCCTCCTGCACGCGCCCTTCCGGTAATCGGGGCATGGAACACAGCTGTAGTGGTACTTCCTCGGATCACGACGCCGGGCATTCTCGCCGGGGTGGACGAACGGGCACTCGGTCCAGTCATGGGAGTACGCCCGCGAGCATGGCCGGACTTTGAACGAGTACATTCTGAACTCATCGGTGGCGTAGATGCTATTCTTGATGTCGGGAAGCGATGGGTCAACGGGGTACTCTTTCTTCTCCGGCACTGCAGGCGGCTGAAGCTCCGAGGCTTTTGTGGTTATCGACGGCGATCCATCCGAATCGAGGGAGGAAGATAACGGCTGTGAATCCGAGTTCGATGGCCCCGTAATCACGTGAAGGGCAGCACGACGGTGATCTCCATCCGAACCATCACACCTCTTCCCGAGAAGTTCTTCCAGAGCAATCCTCACGTCAGGCAGCTTCGGAGGCACGATGACCACATCAGCGGGCCGGCGGCCGTTGGCATCCACCAAGTCGGGATCGGCGCCAGCGGAAAGCAGCAACCTCACGGCATCAGCAGCGTCGGGAGACCCACCCGAGGCGGCGCAATGCAAAGCCGTGGCTCTGTCACGGCCGGAAGCGCGGTTGACCAAAACGGAGGGCGAGGAGAGGAGGAGACCGAGGACGTCGAGACTGCCATAGGTGGCGGCGACCATCAGCGGGGTGTGGCGCTCCAGGACCATCCTATTGGAGCCCTTCTCGCGGCCATACCAGAGGCAGACCTCGTCGACCGCGGAAGGGTCGCGGTCGAGCGATCGCCTGAACCCACCAGCGTCGTTGTTCGCCGCGAGCTCGAGGAGGCTGGAGAACGAGTCGTCGGTGATGTAGTCCATCACTCCGTTGTCTTCTCGCGAGGCTGGAGACGGCGACGAAGGCCCAACCCGCTCCGGGCCACCGCACATGCTTCAGCCGGACGGAGACCGCCCTGTGACGGGATTATAAGCAGACCGACCACAACCTTACCGTATAGAAAACTGGAATCGAAGAGATAATCTCAATAGCAGAGTTGGAAAGATTAAGATCAGAATGGAAACAGCGAATTCTTGGATCAGAAGAAAACTAATTTCCGATTAGAAAATAGCAGCCAAAACTAGCAAGTTCTCGAAAGCCTTCCAAACCAAGTCCAGATTTGTGGTCACACAAACGCTACTATATGCACCGAAGCCGACGCCATTGACTATAAAGATCACAAGAATAAGCCTCAAAAAGCAGAGAGATTCGTTGAGCTCTCACCGGTCGCTTTAGTGGATGAAGCGCGATCGACTCAGACTCGATCAAGATCAGCCTCAAACAACGGCGGCGGGCCTCCACACCACCGCCAAACCTCCATCGCAACGAGTCAGTTGCGATTCGTCGACGAAGAAGGAGACGGAGGAGGAGAGAGCAGGCTGGTAATTGGAACGAAATGAAACGCTCGTGGGAAGGATGAAATGAGAGCGCTTAAATTTGGGGAGGAGGCATTCACCCCGCCATCTTCTCCTTTCGGTTCCCTTATCTGCTACCGCAGTCGTAACGGACCGCACTCGCCCGGAGATCACCGGATCCGCGTATCTCGGCCCAGGCACCAAAACAGAAAACGCCTCTTCTTATTGGTGGGACCAAAAAGGGCCCCACCGGAGAGATCAATGAAAACCCTGGTTTTGGCGGATGGTGGCTTCCTTGACTCAGGAATTTGCGGTTCCGGACGCGACACAGCGGTCAAATCGGGCTCATAGCGGCTCAATTCCGGCGGAAATAGGTAGACCGGGAATCGTGACAATGCTGATATTTTCACGTCGGATGCAGTATCCTCCATGTACGGGCTCTCCCACCCCGGCGTGACGCGTTGTAGCCGGTACCAGTGTAAGAGGGAGTGAAAATATCAGTCCAGCATGGGGGTTTTATGGCAACTTAAATAAGCGCGTGTCCTTTTTGCTATTCTCGAAATTTCCAACGGGTAGACGTTTCGGGGATATGTTTACATTTCTCTAACCCCAAAACTTGAAATTACATACGAGTCCTCCAAACGAGCTCTCTAGGAGAGCGTAGTAAATGAGTCAAAGTGGAAGGGCTAGCGTGTAATTTCGCCATGCCTTGGCCTCACGATGTGGACTCCGAGATGGAGTTACGCTGTTGCCCTTGTCGTTTCGTAGCGTTGGAGCGGAGGATTTGGGGAGGAAAGCAGGGGCTTGTCGGTCATTTAACATCGCAAAGCACCGTAGGCCTGGGACGAGGCTAGGGAAGCGGATAAAGACGCTTCAACGCCCCCTTTTAAAACGGTACCCGCCGCACGTACCGCTGGGGATGGCGTGGGGCCCACCTGTCCGAAAGCAGAAGGGCGAGGAGGTACCTAACCCGGCAGGATTCGGGGGAGCACTTTAAGGCCAGGATGAACCCGCGAGACAAGGGTACCGCCGGTGGTTTCGCTTGCCGCCGCGGGCATCACCACTCGGCGAATTGGACGGTGATGATGAGTTGCTTCGCGGGACGACATGCCATGAGATGCGTGCCCACTCACACGATTATTCTAAATCCACCCTCGCTCGGGATTATCCAAATGTCCATCCAATCATCATTTATAATCTCACTAAATTATATTTTTTTATGTGAAAAAACTAACATTAACTTGTAAGAATATGATAAGGTTCATACTTAGTTTTCATTTGCTTGATTAGGATCGGTAATGGAAGTCAACAATTTTAAACAACAGATATGCCGTGACTGTGAGTGTGCTAAGTCCATGGGCCAATGTCGGAAGTTTCCTGCAGGGTAATTCAGATGATGAGATACTCGAGCTCTCGGGAAGGAGTGTTGATTGGCATTGGTCGGGATCGAGGCTGATTGGCGACTCCTTGGTGTCGGGCGGATCGTACTCCCGTGCCGAGTCCCTCACCGTCGATGAGTGATCGTCCTCCTATAAAAATGGCCTCTGTCGGGCGGTACCCGACCGTGACCCCTCCAACGAGCAAGTTAGTAACGAGAGGGATTACTTTTTTCCTTCTTTTTTTCTTGCTTCCTCTTACCCGGAGGTTAGCCAGGGGTTTTATACTGTGCCGCGAGGGCTGATGGTGCGCCGATTCGACATCGCTATTACTGACCCCCGAGAGATGGGACGACCCTTCAGACCCGCCGTCGTTCCGGGACGCGCAAAGCGACATCAGACGATACCGCCCCTAGCTTCCGGGACGGGACATGTGACATATCTTCTTGGTACGAGCTCCCGACGGGTGGCGTAGGGCTCCGATTTGGCATGAGGTGTCAGCGGTGACGTGTCCAGGCCGCCAAAATATACCATATCAAACAACATAAACTTGAGCCTAAATTTCATTCATATGCCTTTTGTGGATCCATAAGCTGACCAACTTTGAATCCTGGAATCCACCTAAATCTGATATGTTGATGTCGCTACTAACTAATTCATATTCATATATAAAAGTATTTTTGCATATGATATTTTTTGATCTTTTTACGTATGATTTTGACTGACTGTTTCTGATAAGAGTGTCATTCATATGTAAAAAATTATTATTATTACATTCAATAATGTATATATGCTCAGAGACCTATCAATTATACAATAATATACTATGCTTTAACGAAGACATATTATTCATATGTTATGGTGCGAATATAACAGATCAATTTGTTGATAGTAGATGATGATATCAAAAGCCAACCATTGGGCCTATGAAATTGCTAACTTTGAGTTGAACAATTCAATCATTCAAAGTTAAGACATTTTAACCATTCAAACATATGACAAAGATAATCTTATGAATAACCAAATTTTAATTGAAATAAGATGTTTAGGAATTAATGGTCAAATTGGGAGACCAAGAATTTTCAATATTTCTTAAACTCATGAATCAAAGTGAAATCTTTCACTCACATTATTCTCCCTCAAGAACCCTTTTTGAAACTTTTTGATCCTCTAGTTTGAAGTATTCATGTGATTCATGGAGTTTAAGAATTTTCAATATTTCTTAAACTCATGAATCAAAGTGAAATCTTTCACTCACATTATTCTCCCTCAAGAACCCTTTTTGAAACTTTTTGATCCTCTAGTTTGAAGTATTCATGTGATTCATGGAGTTCAACTTGGCTCGAAAATAAAATAAATAAAAATTGGATATAAAATAAATACAAGTGCAGGAACTGCTTACTTTAACTTCCGACAATCTTCTTGTTCCCTTGGTCCACCATTTAGAAGCTTTCCTTGACCTCCACTGTGTTCCTGGAAGAACATCTTTTAATGCTCTTCCTTCCTTTCATAACACCTAAAACTGTTCAGGTATTAACAAAGATAAGAAAAGATGGGTCAGATTGGTATGGTCGTAGCCAACTTATGGTCCCACCTATAGACGTTATTCCATCTCTCTTTCAAACATATGTGAGAACAGTACCTAAAAGGACTAAGAACATTTGGTCTCAAGTGATAGCAATTACCTGTTGGAATAATGACTCCACATGTTTTCTTTGGCAGCAGTCTTCTCACCCTTTGGATGCATTTGACATCACAAGAGACGTTCCGGTCATTGTTAACAGGATTAGGCTTCGAGATTTCTCCTCCTCCTTGCTTTTATATTCATTTTGTGGTTGGAAAGTAAGCTGATGTACTGCAAAGGAAGGCTACCCGGTCTCTTGCATCATGGTGAGCAATACATGAGTCTTTTGATAAGATGGAGATACCCAAGAAAACAATGATACAGGATAACTATGGAAAATAATGAATTGTTAAAAGAAGCGAAGCTAGATCACAATGACCGTCATCTGTCTATGACAAGGATGGCATGAAACATAAAGAACAGGGCACAAGTGCTTACCTCAGTCACCCAATCTGTTGATAGGATCTTGATAGGATAACCAAAAGCTGTCCTACAAGAGTTAGGTTGTGATGGCACATTCTGATAAATCAGAGTGTGACTTGTTCCTGCATGAAAGGGAGATTAAACTTTAAGAAAACAGGTTAGACCGAATGGTTTGGAGATTTATATTTAAGAGAACAAAGTCAGATCTTCTTTCCCGTTTGTTTAAAGGGAAAGAAACTTCTTTGTATGCTACTCTGTGGTAGAATATGTGGCATTCATCATCTGAAATGAATTCCTGGTGACTTTTACACACCCATGGTGAACATAAATGACTTCCTTGACCCAGGACTGAAAGGAAAGTTATGAACATGTACCACACTAAATAAAAGTTATTTGTTCTTGTGACCAAGCAATAAATGACTTTAAAAGAGTACCGAGTGCTTCTTGTTTATGAACTTCATTTTAGACAGGATCTGCAAATCATAGCTTCAAATGCTTTTGTTCAGCATTTGAGCCATCTGTCTACAGTTCTTGCAACTCAGGCACACACAAGCCAAGATTGCATTAAGTTCTAATAATAAATTCATTTAGAATACTTGCCGAAAGTTGGAATGCAAAAAAAATATCAATTATACATAAGCATATAAATCAATGTTTGCTGCTGAAAATAAACTACTTTACCAATAATCATCTAGGGGTTTCTCAGTGGCACCTTGCTATTATCTCCTGTGTTCATCTCACCTGGTTATGAATAGTAAACCTACAAAATAAAGTTTCTTTTAGAATCAATAAGATTAGGAAGTTCTATTGATTCATGAGAAGATGTTAACTTCGTTTTGGGAGAGAAAAACACAATATTACTTAAGAGGGTAATATACTCAAAACAAAAAGAAAGAGGAACTCGTGAATTCCTCCATTATTCTTTGTGATTTGCACATTTTATATAGTAACATGGACCAAAGATCAAGTAAATCAGAGACTCCCCAACAGTTCGTTTTTTGGAAGAAAAGTGGTAAATGAACTTAATAAGAGTTCACACAAAATATCAGGAGGTGGATTACCTCTCCAGAATATATCAACTACATTTGTCATAGCAAAATTAGCCAACTTATGGACAGAAACATAAGAATTCCCGGGGACAAAATGCCATCCAGTGACACTCGGGTGCCAAGGAATACTAAATAGAAAAATATCTTGACAGATGTTTCTCGGGTGCCAAGGAATACAGGTGGGACTGAAAGCATGTTGAGGAGAGTCTGTGAGCCAGATCTAACCTGTATTTTGTAGTAACCTTCCTGATGGGGTTTCTGTATAATCCCCAACAGTATGTTATACAACATATGTACTGCGATTTGCATACGTGACACAGTACATAGACAGCTGGGCTATTGAAGTTGTTTCCTTTGGCTTTTTATTAGACAATAGCCAATAAATTGTGCATTTCAGGTTATCATCAATATCATCTAACCATTTGAGATCTTCGAAATCAAGGTGCACTGAAATAGTTATATGAACCCAAAGACGGTAGAAGATTATACCAATTTCATTTGGAAAAACATTCTGATAGTCGACCGTCTGGCATCAAGTTCATGCATGACCAGATGACATGAAAGGATGCAAAAGGCCTGGAGATTTGAGAAGATTCCAGCAAAAACTTATAGACAAGGTTTGCTGAAAACAGTGGTAATCACCAGGGCCCTGAAGATTTCTGTTGGAATGTGTTCTGTAGAACCTTGTTGAGGGGATTTAGATAAGTTGCCAGATCCTCACACTAACTAATCAGAATCATTCCTTTGCCCAGATCTACACATTATGCCAGATTGAACTTGTATGAGGAATATATCCATTTTCCACTAGCTCGTCCAAAGACAGTTTGAGTTTTGTGTACGACATCTCAAACTGAGGGTCTTGTTTGTTCCCTGCAGTAAAAGATTGGACTTCATTTTTAATGTTTATCCAACTGTTACCTGGAGTCTTTTCTAAACCTTTCTCCTTGATGTCTGCTCTCAAGATAGTGACGTATTCCCAATTTCCAGCTGCAGCATATATATTGGAGAGAAGTATGTAATTTGCAATGTTCATTGGTTCTAATTCAATGAGCTTTTCACCGATTATCCTCGCAAGTTCCATGTTATAAAACATTCTACATGCGCTCAGGAGAGCTCTCCAGAGACTAGCATCTGGTTCCATGGGCATTGAACAGATCAGTTCTTTGGCTTTATCAAGGTTTCCTGCACGGCCAAGAAGGTCGACCATGCAAGCATAATGAACAACCTCAGGTGGTACATTATAGTCCCTATTCATGGAATGGAAAATTTCCCATCCCTTCTCAATCATACCGGAGTGACTGCATGCAGACAGAATAGAAACAAATGTTACACGGGTAGGTCTCTCTCTAGCACTAAGCAATTCACAAAATATCCGAACAGCATCTTCACCTTGGCCATGGATTCCATATGCTGCAATCATGGCATTCCAAGAGATGATGTCCCTCTTCAGTAGGTTTCTGAACATCGATTCAGCACTCCTTATGCTTCCACATTTTGCATAAATCGTCAGAAGAGCATTTCCCAAAGAAGTATCAAGTGGCAAGCCGAGCTCCCTTCTTACAATGTATGCATGAAAGCATTTTACTTGCAGAAGACTCCCCATTTGTGCACATGACGGAAGAACATTGATCATTGTACTTGCATCAGGTTTTGTTTCAAACTGCATTCGATAGAAGAGAGTAAGAGCATCATTCGGTCGTCCATTGTGAATATAGCTAGCAATCATAGCATTCCAAGATACTAAATCTCTGTCAGAGTGATTCCAAAATATATAAAATGCTGCTGATTCTTGTCCACAGTCCATGTACATATCTGCAAGTGCAGTGCACAATGATGAGTTGACATCAAGCCCATGCCTTATCACATAACCATGAATAGACCTGCCAAAATTTAAAAATAAGTTGTTTGTGCATCCTTTAAGAAGAGAGACCATAGTGAATGAGTTTGGTTTAGTTTCTGTTTGTTGCATTTTCCCGAAGAGATCCCAAGCCTTGCATGTCAGCCCATCCTTGATCAAAGCCATGATCAATGTGTTCCAAGAAACTGCATTTGACTTATCCATCCCATTAAAAATCTCTTGAGCAGATGTGACAATATTCAAGTCCGCATACATAGACAGCAATGCATCATCTATAGAGGTATTATCTGTCATCCCACTTTTTATAGCATAGGCATGCAATTGCTTACCTCTTTCTAAGCAGCCACACTGAGCACATACAGAAAGCATTATACCAATGGTGACCATATTTTCTCCTATACAGTCACACTTCATCCTGCTAAACAGAGCAAGTGCTTCATTGAAACACATGCAATTCTTGTATGCAGAGATCATAGCATTCCATGAAGCAACATCCCCTGTTAGCCCTCTTTCAAAAACTAGACTAGCATGTTCACAATATCCACACCTACCATACATATTGATCAGTGCATTCCCCACAAACTTATCTACAGAAAAACCGTATTTAATAACTAGTTGGTGCACTTGCTTCCCAAACTTTAAGCATCCGAATTCCCCACACGATTGCATGACAGCTAAAAATGTCACAGAATCAGGAGCCACATTGTCTACTATCATATGAAGAAAGATCTTTAAAGCTTCAGAACATTTTCCAGTGTGGAAATACCCATCTATGATAGCATTCCAACACACAGTGTTCCTTCTCTCCAATACTTCAAATACATTGTGTGATAACCGCATGTCAAACCTCGAATAGAACCCAATCAAGGAAGTCCCAACATGAGGCTCCAGTTGAAGAATCCCACTTCTCAAACTATAGCAATGTGCAGCCTGCCCAAGCCTGAACTCAGACAACTCACGACAGGCTAATATTAGACTAACCAGCGTGACCGAATTTAGCCTCAATCCATCTCTTCTCATCCTAAAACACAACAAGATCGCGTATTTGTACTGACAATTGGCAACACACCCAGAGATCATGGCATTCCATGAAACCAAATCTCTCTGCGTCATTTCCTCAAATACCTCGAGCGCATCATCAACTAATCCGCATTTACAGTACAAATCCACGAGCGCAGTCCGAACGCGCACGTCGTCAGCTAGTTCTGTCCCAACTATGCACAAATGAACTCGTTTACCGAACTCGACATCCTGCAACCTCGCGCACGCCTTGAGGACGACCGGCAGTGCGACCCTGTCGCGGTGGGCGCCCGAAGCTTCCATCTCGGCGAAGGTTGCGAGGATGGCCCGGTCATTTTTTAGCCTGACGTGGTGCTTGAGGATCGAATTCCAGTTACCGGGGTCTCTGCTTCGGATGGGGGGAGACAAGCGATGCGGACTTGGGAGGTTCATGAGGAGAGAGCAAACCATCTCTGATGCATGTGTGGCGGGAAGACGAAGGCCGTTAAATAGTTGAGTTGTCACCACTCAATATATATATATATATATATATATATATGTGTGTGTGTGTGTGTGTGTATGATATTTATTTACTAAATATATGATATTTAGTGAAACACCAACAATGCTTAATTTAGTTTGAAAAATAGCTTAAATAAATAATACTAAGTCAAATAATAGTGATTTTGAAAATATATTTTGTGAGGAGTAGGCTATGGAGAAGTCACCATGCAAAACGTTAATCAAACCTAAAATGCTCAATTTGTTTGCAATTTCACAGCATTTTCCATCACAAGTAGAATGATATCCATTTCTTTATGGGATTTTGGTTTCACTAGCTTTTGAAGATAATGCAGATCCAAATTTATTTTTTTAATGAAATATTAATTGTTTTATGTTTTCGGAAACGGGAAAATTCTCATATTCATCTTTGAGAATTTTGTTAAGGTATTTTTGGCAATTCAATTTATAATCCCTAATGTTGGTTCTATAAGTCCTTGAGGAATTTTTTGAAGTTTTATGTGAATAATGAGGAATTGGCACCATATTGTCTTATAACTAGTAAACAATCTTTCAGTACAAGCTTAAGCAATCTTGAACAAAGAGGAAAGGAGAGAGAGGAGACTGGATACAGTTGCAGAGAAGTAGAGGAAGAGTATGTGTGAGATTGACAGGGAGTGATGTACCAACTAAAGCTTGTGAGTAGGAATCTTCATCCACATTACTGCAGTTTTTCTCAAGAAAGAAAAAAATCTAAAGCTATCATACATTGGATAGTTTTGTGTATGCAGTTGTAAGACAAACTTAGCCTGTGATACACGGAACAATTGGGAGTCTTCAGGTAGCAAAAAGCCTTGGTTCTTCCATAAACAAGTCATAAGCTCAAGTTGCATATGTGATTCAATGATATTGTGGTGCACTTCAGCTTGCAGATATAGCAATTGCTCAGCTGCACTCTGAGATGCCACATGCAAGACATTGACACTCATACAGTTCCATTCAGATAAACGTTGCAGCTTCAGATATTGGAAGATCTTTTAACTCTACCAACATTTTTACAGTAGAGTCAATTCATTTAAAAAATAAATGCGGAAAACAGTTTGAACTTCATTTGGCTCTATCGATAGCGAGCCAGAGAAATGATCATTGGTTTGCATCGGTGAGCTCATTCACCTTTTCCATTCTGCTGAGCAGCAACATAATTGCGGATGACCTCCATGGCCAGCTGGTGGGCACTCTTGTTCTGCAGCTTTGCAAGATTCGCCATGGCTTCATACGTTTGCCTGTCCGAGAAGATTTTGAGATTGAATCTTGATGATGATGATTCCCCAGGACCTTCCCACTTCTCGACCAGCTCTTGAAGTGTATCAAAGCCCTAACGGAAAGACAGAAGGTCAACCATGTTCATCACCGAGTGTTGTTAGAGCTGACATTCATATATTATCAACCATGCTCACCATCCGAGTCGTGAAGTCACCAAATGATTCATGCCGTTGGCGTTCTATCCTCCAGTTGTAAAATAGCGGCTCAAGAACCTTCTCTAAATCTTGGACCTTCACCTTATTCATGAAGCTTTTTGCCAGTCTGGTCTGATTAGGTGTGCCACCAAGCCAGATCTGATGTCACAAGTAAAAAGCATCAATAAGCATTTGGTTGAGCACAAATAAAATTTATTTAGACAGCTGCTAAGGCCTGTAAGTTCTATTATATCTCAATATCAATATTTCGTTGCAAAGGGTCAGTTTAACTCCCAAGATCATGCATTTACAGACTATTAAAGTGAAGATCTTGCATGTATTTGTGCACTTGAGGATGTCAGGCTATGGAAACCACAAGTACATAAAAGGTTGAATGTGCTTTATTCTAAATCTCACCCTAGGTGATTGCTAGTTATATAATTTTGCATAAATTGATTCTTCAATCTATGATTCCAAGCACTGCTGGTTGAAAGAAGCTTCAATCCACATTATTACTACCATTCATAAAGGACTTAAATCACCTGGTAGCTGTTGGGACCATCTCCGACAAGTCCTAGCTCGGCCATGTAGGGTCTGGCACAGCCATTAGGGCAACCAGTCACCCTTATCACAACTGAATCATTGTACTTGAGGCCAACCTGCAATAAAATGTTTCTGAATCACAGTTCACTCAGAAAATTTTCAAATATAGCAGTTTGCACATTATTACAACAAATTGGATAATAAACAATGTGGTGACCTTGTCAAAAACAGCTCGAACCCTTCTGAGAATATCTGGAATCCCTCTCTCAGCTTCTGTAATTGCTAGTGGGCAAAGTGGAAGAGCAGGACAGGCCATGGCAGTTAAATTGAGACGATCAATATATCTGGGTAGCTGTCAGTATGATAATACTTAGATTAATCAGGACACCCAACTAACAGTAGGATCAGAAATCATCTTTTGCATAACAACCAGAAACACAAGTCATTTAGAAAGTCAGGCATTGAGACCTCATATCAGATTTAGCGCATTAGATTTCAATTCGGTTTAAACACCAAACACAGGGGGTCTCACTAAAGAAAGAAATAAGCTATACAGTAGATCAGCCATTTTGGTTATTCTTTTGGTTATACAAGGTACTAGATAAGTATAACCTAATTTTTGAAGCTGCAGAAACAAACAAGCTATACCAGTAGACCAGCCTGGGCAAGAGCTATGGAGATGGGCCGTCTCCATGAACACCGGATGTCACACAAAATCAAGTTCTGGTTAGGTGTAATGCGAACATTCAGATTGTACTTCTCAATTACTTCTCTCAAAGTTTTCTTCATTTTCCCTCCTATACGGCCATTATCAACACTGAGTCCACAAAACATAGCACCATTACCCTGCCATGAAATGCTCCAAAAGATCATAACATTTTCATTAAAAGACAAAGCTGAAAACACATACATATGGCCAAAAATGATATTGCAATTGTTTAGAACATATCAAAACTAACAAGAACTAAGCAAAAGAATGAGTATAAATCCATTAGATGTCTGAAAGCAACCTGTTCATGCCATCCAAGGTAACTCTTAAATTCCCACTCCGGTAATTCTCTGAATGGTTCAAACTTCTTACCATAATACTGCTCAACAACACTACGGAACTTTTCAATTCCCCATGCACTAATCAAATACTTCATTCTACTATATTTCCTGTCATCCCTCCTCCCATTTTCTCTTTGAGTAACAACAATAGCCTTTATAGCAAACAAAATATCTGCTTTTGGAACATAACCCAGTGGCTCCCCTAGACGAGGGAATGTGGTCTCAACCCGATGAGTCCTTCCCATGCCTCCTCCCACCTACAAATGTAAATTTTTTGAACAAATCAAAATTTCTAATCAAGAAACTTATAAACTAACACTTGAACATAAAAACTTTTTACATAGATGTTAAAGCCTCGAGGTTCTCCATCATCATCAGAAACTAGTACAACACCAATGTCATTTGTTAGGATATCAACTGAGTTATCTTTTGGTACAGTCACTGCAATCTTGAACTTCCGAGGCAAGAATTGGGTGCCGTAAATGGGCTCTGGTAAGTCTGGGAAATTTGTTCCATGGGAATTGTCATTACGAGCTTTTACTACCTCTGGAGGCTCTGCTGACATAACTTTTTCACCATCTACCCATAAATCATAATATGCACCAGACTGAGGTGTCAAAAGGGTAGCAATATTTTCAGCAGTCTCCTGCGCAAAGACATACTCTTTTTTGGCATATGGTGCTGCAGGAGCTAATACATTTCTGTTCAAATCACCACATGCACCAAGAGTTGATCCCATATTCTTGATGATGGTACTCATTACAGTTTTTAGGTCTTTCTTCAGGATGCCATGCAACTGAAATGTCTGCCTAGTGGTCAAGCGAAGAGTACCAATTCCAAACTCATCAGCAAGATCATCCATAACCAGGTAGAGCTTATTTGGGACTTTCCCACATGGATTTTTTGTACGAAGCATAAACTGGTAAGACTTTACACCACGTTCATCCCTATTTGTCTGTTGATAACTTCCGTGAAACTTGATCAATTGTGTAGCAGCTTCATTTATGTTTGGAGCTTCTGAGAGCAATTCCTCATTTAAAGGAAATCTAAGAAAGTTGCTTTGCTCCTTAAACAATTCAACCTTGCTTCGCTTGACCGCAGTATCTGGTTTTGTAGGCTATAAAAAAACCAAAAAGGATTGGCATTATTTAAATGAGAAATTAAGTACAGGTAATATACTCTAAATTTACATTAATCAAATATCATATCTGCAGATGAATTAATGGCAGGTAGATTACATTGGAGAAAATGTACCAAATCTCCCAGGTCAAAGCATCGAATGATTTTGTACTAGAAAGAGATAAAGAGATACCTAAAAATTACAAAAAAACAGTTGCAGAGTTGAGAATTATATACATACTGCTTATTCAAATTGTAGCCCAGCTCGCAGGTCGAAATATCGAATAATTTTCTTTACTAGAAACTAGCAAGAGTTAAAAGATAATTTCAAAATTAGAAAAAAACCAGTTACAGTGTTGAGCATCATGTATATACTTCTTATTCTACAAGACACTGCATTTCTTTTTAGTTATTTCAAAACAACTGCTACTTAACAATATTTACATACTTTTTTATTTTTCCGTCATGCATAGTCTTGTAGGACACTAACTGAAATGCCCATGATTTTTTCCTTGTGATGTTATAGAGTTCCATCATTAGGCAATGCTAAAAACAAGCTACCTTTTAGCCATCATATTAACATCAAAGCACTAACAACTTTGCAAAACTAAACCATTTGAAGCTGCATCTATATCTGCCTCATTCAACATGTCCTTTTTGACTCTAATGGCCTTGCCTAAATTCTTTTAGAATGAGGAAAAAGAGGACTCATACAGCTTGCAGATGTGTTTCACAGAAATTAAGATCAGATTTGGGATTGGCCCGATCATACATTAAGGCAAACTTGCAAGATATCCAATCACTCAGCATGCATATGGACCGTGAAATACGACAGATGTAAAATACGGCAGCATCATGATAGCTGATGATAAGCAGTTGAAGAACTTGAACCAGCAGGTTTAGTTAATGGTTGATTATAGGAAAATTAAAGAAAGTAGAAAAAAGAGTAAGATTAATCATCTACAGAGCTTCAACAACATTGAAGAAGCTTCAGGTAAAAAACTCTGCTTCACAAGTTTCCTTTTCTCTTCTCCCAGTTCCCTCTCTCCGTCTCCCAGATCCCACATTGATACAAAAAAATCGCTGCCCTAGCTACCAGGTCAATTACCAACCGAAAATACCTACACGAAAAATTTAAACCAGAGACCTGTTACAGATAAGATGGGCATTCAGGAACCTGACATCACTTTCTTAATTGCTATGTAAAAGACTAGTTCATGTCAGAAAACACGAACATTTAAAGATGCAATTTGCTATCCTACGATAAAGGGGGAAAATGCTTGTTTCTTAAGAACGAAACATAAACGTGATATGGCATCACCATAATTTCCCCCTATTGGTTATTCAAACCAACTAAAACGGACAAAAGACAACCAACATCCCACCTTTGGGTTACCACATCAGGAAGCAGAAATAGATAAAATGCAAGAAGCAAATAGAGCTCACCGTGGAGACGGCTCTTATAATGGAAGAAAAGCCCGACGAGGACCCGATGGGCAGAGCCGGGAGCGGTCTCCCGAAGGGAATCAGTCCGGAGGACCTGAGCCCCCGAAATCCACGTATCTGGACCCTCCGATCGGCCCCGGCTCCGATCCCCGCCGCCGCTGCCGAGGCCGCCATGGCCGCCGATTGGCAATTCAAATCCTCTAAAAGACAGCGCTTTCGGGACGAGGAAAAACCGAACCGAACAAGGAACTGGACCGAGAGCAGTGTGGCGCTAGCCGGGATTTGACGCCGTCGAGCTTAGACGCACGGCCACCCGCCCACCGTAGGGAAGCGGAGTCCAGCGGTAGCCACACGTAGAGCGGCGGATTATTCTCGAAAGGCCACAGACGCTGATATTTTCACGCGCTGTCGCTGTCGCTCGTGAGCTGCGAACTGTTCGATATCGATCTGTAAGCCTCCATCTGAGCTGGTAATTCGGAGTGACAATATCATAATCCGAATCTGACTGTTCGATAATATAGGATTTATTAACTAAAAAGTACTTTTTCTTACCCTATTTGGTACTTCCCAAACATTACCTTTCTCCTTATTGGAAGGAGATTGGGCCCCTCTATTTCCGCTGACCAAGGCAAGTAGGAGAAGAAACTCGTGTGTATTCCACCAAATAAGAACACCGTTTTAACTATTGAATATAATTATGTGGTTCATAGTGCCAAAAAAAAAGTTATTTAACCTCTTAAAGAACATAATCTAAAAATATAGTTTATATAACGATGGATGACAGAAAAAATCTAGCTCATCTTTCTTTTTATTCCATAATATTTTGTTTAATGAAGCATTCTATTAGGATTAGTTGTAGATTATCTTATATAATTAATTATATTTAATATTCTTATTTTTATATTTAATTCTTATAATTATAATATTTAATATTATTTCTTCTCATCGTGAATTCTACCGACGAAAATACTACATGTGTTCAGAACCCTTTGATATTTTTATTAATATCGTGTGAGACGAAACGAGATTAAATATTTTATAATTTTTAAAAATATAAAGATCGAAATGTTAAATGTAATTTTTTACACTTTGTTACAGTATTTTTTTTAATAATATCGTAAACTAAATAAAATACTAATTTATATAAATTATGTAATGTCATATTTTTATAATATTAGAAAAAATATATTGTAATATAGTATAAAAATATTATAAAATAATGTTTTTATTTTCAGCAATACTAAGAAGATACTGTAACTCATTTTATAAAATAAAATTTTATACTATAAATAAATCATGATTATAAAGAATATTTACTATATTAAATTTGATTCAGAGTATATCGTCCATTAAAATTTTATGATAAAGTGGTAAGCGATATCGCTTATCTATGATTGGCAAAAACTACTTACCGAATCAAAAATATGTTTTATTTCAGTTGTTTCTTTGTGTTGGATCGTCACAGGACACACTGGTGCATGGAAGGACTGGTCGATGGGGAATGTCAGGAAGAACAGGAGCATTGGGATCACTTGCATGTCAAAGCAGTGTTGTTCTCCGTGGTGTGATCCTGTTCCCCGATGGTAGGGTCTCCCATGACACCCCAAACACTATCATCCACGTTGAAACCAAAAGATCTCCTTTTGTCACGCCTGCAGGAGTGGCCTTTAACCTGCAGATCCTCTCTCCCCTTCCTGTCCAATGAACTGGCGACCACGATGATGAGAACCTGCACAATGTCATGAGTATATGCAGACACGTTGCTGTGAACGCCAGGGAATCCAATTCAAAATCTAAAGCAGAGCCCGGCACCACCTTCCAAAGTTAAAGGAGGTCAAGAAAGCCAGCACTAGACATGGAAGATGAAGAAGACGAAGACGAATGAGGAACAACAAGCAGCATTCTCTTCACAACCAGATCGATACTGCACACAGGGAACTGAAAAGATGCACAAACTCGGGCTTCTCAGCTATAAAAAGTAGCTGTGAAGCATAAAACAAGCTCACCAAACCCTAGAAAACCAACCTCAGCAACAAAGACAGAAGGGAAAGATCAATGGCGATGCAGTGTTTCGGCCTGAGAAGGGTCTACAGTGAGATCTCCCGTAGGGCGTAGAGGAAGAAGAGATCGAGGTCTGGCGAGGTGAAGAAGGGGACGGGAGGTGTGTTCTCGGACCAGCGCATGGCGGTGACCCGTCGCTTTTTAGGCGCCGGTGGGCAGCTGAGGTGCTCCGGTATCCGGGAGGTCTTGGCCTTTGGGGTTGAGGATCCTGCAGCTGCGATGTCGATTGCTCTCTTCTCTTCCAAATCCGACATGGCTTGTTTCGAGGAGACATCATCCGTGGGGCGTCGTGATGGCTCCGAGTTCTTCTGCTGACGTCGAAGTCGAGGTCGCCAGCAAGCCTTTCTTCTTCCTCTGAAGGCTGGAGCCATTCGAGAGCTGGCCGAAGCCAAATGACATAAGATCCAAAAGAGGAAACCTTCATTTCCGAGATGATCAAACCTCAAGAAGACAAAGTTCAAAAAAACCATGCTTGAAGAATAGAAACACAAATCAATGATTGAAACAAGATACAGCTAAGATTGGGTTTGAGATGAGTAGAACATCAGCTAAATCTTGCTACAGTTCATTAAGAAACATATCCTCCAACTTTTCAGAAGCTAAGAAAAGAATTGTTGACACAAAGTACTTCCTACAGAGCGAGAGAGAAGTTAGTAAAGATAATCACAGTGAAGATAGATCTTGAAGAGCTCCTGTCAACAAAACTCGACATCTGTCTTCTGTATCCAAAGAAATTGCACAGAGAGAAGAGTACACACACGACTCAGAAGCTAGCATACCTCTGAAGGACTCGGGCGCAGCACACTGTCAAAGAAGAGATCTCAATTGATAGCCTCGGAGTAGATGATCTCAAGAAGATACCCAAAGCCTAACAAGCTTTCGGTGAGCTTGTGAAGGATGTGTTCATGGAAATGGCATCTTTTTGTGGACGGGGAGGGAAGGATGCCAAGTGTGGCAGCGGTCTCCTCCACCGCAGGTGAAGTTACCTCAAAGAGATTCGATTCGAGCTAATATATAAAATATGTATTTAAAATTACAAAAAATAATATTACCTTTTTTTGTCTGATTTTAATTCCGTGCCTTAAATATATACATATCTATAATATTGTTGGTATATATATTTTTGTCCTTGATTATTATTTAAAGATTCCATCTCGTTGCTTGATCGAAGTTGATGGGTCCAATATACTTTCAGTCACATGCAAAATTATTATATGGGTCCCCCAAAAAAAGTGAAATGGAAGTCAAAGTCAAAGTCGATGACGTCGATCAAAGCTGTAACTCCATTTTATTTTTTTTCTTTATTCTTATAATACGTCGAAGGGCCCACAATAAGATGGTTAAAATAGTGTCGGTGGGCGTAATCGATTTCTAATTTAACGGATGATTAATGCATGATTGCATCCACCCGTTTGTGCGTGTCGCGACAAGTGATCAATACCCAGTTGTCATCTCTTCGTAACACACGAACACTGCGATTCAAAGATACCCGCGATGCTCGTTACTGGAGCAAGCAATCGGGTCCCATTCCACACCACCACAAGAAAGAAGGGTACGCCGAGCCGGGGTTTCGAACGTGGTGTCGTTCGAAGTATTTACTGATCTCGTGGCGGATCGTCTCCAACGCTGGCTTCATCGGTCAGATCCGATGCCGGCATCAGAGCCATCGGTCCTTCTAGCTCAGTGGGACCCACACCACTTCGAACGCCCAAGACCGTCCGATCGATTGGTGGAGTTGAAGACGCGTCCGCCTGATAGCAAACGTATTCTAATAATTCATCAGCGTTATTGCTGGATCGAGCGGCCCGGGTCCCACGCATTTCACCAAAGGAAAGAAGGGTAGGCCGACGGGGTTTCAAAGTCGGGTCGTCGTCGCGGATCATCTCCAACTCGATGTTTTCGTCGGTGACATCCCATCCCGGCATCAGAACCGTCCATCCTCTTACCTGGAGTTTGGCCCAACGGCAAAGACCGTCCGATCGATTCCTTCTCCGTTCCACTGCTTCTTTCACCGTAGTGGGTGGGAGTAGCAGCAACGTCCTTTTCATAGTAAACATATCAAATCAACTCGGCGTTGTTAAAGCGTCGCTTTCGCCCCCTTTCTCTTCTCTCCTTAATTGCTCGATTACTAGTCGGTGGTGATAGGGTTCCTTCTTGAGATATCTCCCCTCACTCCCCTTCTCTTCGTGTCGGCAGTGTGAGGGAAGACCGATTTGGTGGCTCTTCGGAGCAATCCGTTCTCAAAGGTGAGTCCTCTTTCTTTTGTTCTCGACGAAATGCCAGTTTTTGATGTGAATGGCTCGTTCCACCTATAGATCTACTGATGTATTGTTGGTGTACGTTTAAGATTTATGAGATCTGGATGTTTCATGCCGACATTTCTATGGGTGATAAATTCCATGTGGTTTTGATAGGGGCAAGTTGTGGATCGGAATCCATGCGGTGCATTAAGCTTCGATCTGTTAATATTTGAGCTGTTTCTTCTCGATTCGATTAAAGTTTGCACTTTTTGGTTGAGAAGCCTGCCATGGAGGTCGATGGAGAGAAGGGGGTACGTTTCTGCATCAGAAACATGATTGGTTCAAATTGTTTTTTCTTTTTTGACCGAAATGTAGCTTGTTCTTGAAAAGGTCTCCATCTTTAGATTCAAAACATAATATTTTTTCGCAATCCATGGTTGAAACTGTGTTAATTTTGACTCGTCTTGACTTGGATGAAGAAGCCTGTGAAGCACTCCGGTGGCCAGGTGTGCCAGATCTGTGGCGACAGTGTTGGTACAACAGTGGACGGCGATCTATTTGTCGCCTGTGATGTATGTGGGTTTCCCGTCTGCCGTCCCTGCTACGAGTACGAGAGGAAGGATGGAAACCAGTCGTGTCCCCAGTGCAAGACGAAGTACAAGAGACACAAAGGTTTTGCTTTGGATCCCGATCTGCATTAATGTGTCACAGTTATTTAAATAAAGACCAGATTAAGGATTTTGGTTGGCTCTTTTGTTTTTATTGCGACATGTAGGAAGCCCACCTGTTCGCCAAGAGGAGGGGGACGATGGCGATGCTGATGATGTTAGCGATTTCAATTATCCAACTAGCCATCAGGATCAGAAGCCAAAGATCGCTGAACGCATGCTGGGTTGGCACATGGGTCATGAGCAAGGGGAAGATGTCGGTGCTCCAAAGTATGACAGTGGGGAGATCCCTCGGAATCACATCCCTTTGCTCACTCACAGCCAGGGGGTATGCCTTTTTGATTTAATTCTCTTAAGATCAGTGTCTCTGTTCCCCTTACGTGAAGATATGTTACTATTTTCTTTATTTTCTGCAGCTCTCCGGAGAACTGCCAATGTCATCACCTGATCATATGATGTCCCCAGGAGGTGGTGGAAAGCGTGTGCATCCACTCCCTTACCGCTCTCGTATGTCACTTATCCTAGGTTTTGTGGTTGTTATGTTGAGTTTAATATTTGTTTATGCATTGCTAGTCCTGATTCAGATGTTAAATTGTTGTCCTTTCTTATTTGATCAGCTAACTCGTCCAGAGAATTTGGCAATGTTGCCTGGAAAGAGAGAGTTGATGGATGGAAGATGAAACAGGAGAAAAATGTTGTGCCAATGACTAATGGTACCAGTCATGCCCCTTCGGAAGGCAGGGGAGGAGGTGATATTGATGCGACTACTGATTACAATATGGATGATGCTTTACTGTGAGTTATTCTCCTGTTAAAGTTTCTTTGTTGAGTGCATATGAGCTTAATATTTTCTTTCTGAATATTGTAGTTGACTTGTTTACTAGCAGATTGATGCTTTGAATATTTTTGTTGGAATCCTTGGTAAGAAACAGAAGAAATGTTCTCAAATATCGTAAATGTTATTGTAATGAGATCTGTCTTGGTTCTTTTCTGTCTAAGTATATTTTGCATCCTATGAAAATACTCATTGCACTTCTCTTTTCTTATTGACTAATGGGTGACTAACAAAAAAAATGACCCATGAACAACTATGTTGGTGTAAAGGCATAAGAATTAGTCCTAAATACTGCATTCTTTAGTAACTGCAATAATAATTTTTCCTCTCTCCAGGTGTCCAGGTGGCATTATATGGTAATTAGCTAAATATTCATCCAGTTTATCTGTGTGGTCCATGTAAAATAAAGTGATTTTTTTTACTGATTTAGCTTTCTGAATTTCACAATCAACACACACTTCCAGGCTTCCAGCTTTATCCTTGTCAGCTTGTTCATTTTGGACTTGTATGACTGTTTTTCCTTTACTACCATCGTGAGTCTGATTATAACACCAGCTCTGTTGTGAAATAGTGATCTTCTATCTTCTTTGACATTCTAATCCTAGTTCAACTTAAATCATCTTAAAGGGGATCCTTATGAACATTTTGGTGGAAATGTCTAGCACACAATGTGCAACATCATTTGATGCTGTTCTGTATTCTTTATTTGAAAATAAATCATTTGCATTGAAAGTTGGAAATGAATCCAAATAATTTTTGGAAAGGAAACAAAGCCCTTTGTTTTTCTAAAATGTTAAAAAGTTTACTTGCTTTCGGTTCTGTAGGCTCTAGTTCCAGAGACTATTCTACTTTCTATTGTTTTTTTTTCTACTTTCTGTAGTTTAAATGTATAATAATTTAACAATATTCTTGACTCTGTTTATAGGGCCACTGAAATTACCTGAAACTTTTTTATTTTAACTGTAAGCTGTCATTGCTTTTATTATGCAGGAATGATGAAGCCCGGCAGCCTCTTTCCAGGAAAGTATCTGTTCCATCTTCCAGGATAAACCCATACAGGATGGTTATTGTGTTACGGCTTGTTATTCTCTGTATTTTCCTCCACTATCGTATCACAAATCCTGTCACCAATGCCATTCCTTTATGGTTGTTATCTGTAATCTGTGAGATATGGTTTGCTATATCTTGGATATTGGATCAGTTTCCCAAATGGTTTCCTGTAAATCGTGAAACTTATCTCGACAGACTATCAATTAGGTAATTGCTTCATGGTTTCTTAAATTTTCTTGTGTAGTTTAAGTACTCAGACCAGTTGTTTGCTAAACATCACTTGAAACAACAGATATGACAGAGAAGGTGAACCGTCTGAGCTGGCTGCTGTCGACATTTTTGTCAGTACTGTCGATCCATTGAAAGAGCCTCCCCTTGTCACAGCCAACACTGTGTTATCAATTCTTGCCGTGGATTACCCTGTTGACAAGGTCTCTTGCTATGTCTCTGATGATGGTGCTGCTATGCTGACATTTGAAGCACTGGCTGAAACTTCAGAGTTTGCAAGAAAATGGGTTCCTTTCTGCAAGAAATACATTATTGAACCTCGAGCTCCTGAATGGTACTTCTCACAGAAGATTGATTACCTCAAGGATAAAGTTCAACCTTCATTTGTTAAAGATCGCAGAGCAATGAAGGTGTCTAGTCTTGCATAGTTTCAAACTTGGATTTTTTTTTTTTCTGTTATCCTTTTGCATGTCTTCTGACCAGCAATTACTTCAATCCAGAGAGAATATGAAGAATTTAAGGTCCGCATCAATGGCCTTGTTGCAAAGGCACAAAAAGTTCCAGATGAGGGATGGATCATGCAAGATGGCACACCATGGCCTGGGAATAACACCAGAGATCATCCTGGAATGATCCAGGTTGGTGGATTTCTGTAACAAAGAACATTATCAAATCTAGATAGTAGACATCTTAGATATTTGGCATGTGGAAACACATTTTCACATTTTGTGCATATTAATTTCAAATACATCTTGACATTGCCCATTGTGATTTGTTAACATTTACTAAATTGGTTGACTGCTGTTGCAACATGTTCTTTTAAGATAATTTTTCTTATCAGAATCATCTTATGTCACTCAAATTATCAGGTTTTCTTGGGTCACAGTGGAGGGCTTGATACCGAGGGTAATGAACTACCACGATTAGTCTATGTATCTCGTGAGAAACGTCCAGGTTTCCAACACCACAAGAAGGCTGGTGCCATGAATGCTCTTGTGAGTAATAAATGATTCAGCATATTATGTGAATCTGGCGTTTATTTATTCTACTAAATATTTGTGTAGCTGGACAAGGACATCTTTGTCCATTGTTAATCTTTAAAACTACTGTGTAGGTGCGTGTGTCGGCTGTCCTTACAAATGGACCCTTCATGTTGAATCTTGATTGTGATCACTACATAAACAACAGCAAGGCTCTGAGGGAGGCTATGTGCTTTCTTATGGATCCAAATCTTGGAAAGCAAGTTTGTTATGTACAGTTTCCACAGAGGTTTGATGGTATTGATAGGAATGATCGATATGCCAACCGTAATACAGTGTTTTTTGATGTAAGTGCAGATATATTTCAAAGCTTATAACATTTCTTACAGCTTGTTGTTGATAAGCCTTAGCATCAACTGGGCAATTTAGTCTTTACAATGATGATTCTAGTGAATATAACCAAACATTAGAGATAACACTTGATAATATACAACATTATGATGTGGCTGTATAAAATGCTTCCCTAATTGGCTGCATAATAAATGGCATTTTTCTGCACTTTAATCTATTCCTGAAAGTCATTCTGATCCAAGTAATTGGTCCAAGATTAATTTTAATGCTTCAGGTCATGGTTAACTGTCTTAACTCATGCGATGCTTCTGAATATCTGAAAGCAGAACTGCATGAATGTTAGTGTTATCTATCCTAACCATTGGCTTCGTCTGTCCAGATACTTTTTGTATTGAAACTCAACTCTTCTCTTGCAAATACTATTTTAACAGACATGTCATGGAGATGCCCCAAAACATGGTTGTTCCATACTTTTTGAAAACATGAAACATGTTAACTCACATTGGAGGTCAGAAATTGGTTAAAAAGTTTTAGTGTTACTAATAAGAAAACCCTTTAGTAGTTTTGGTGTCATCAAAAGGGAAAAGATACTCTACATTTTGGACCATGGTTGTGACCATTTGGATCCATGTACTCTTACCCTAGAGTCCAAGACATTACCTTTGTTCTTTTGTTGATCAAACTTTTAGCATCATTTTGATATTCTTGTAAGTAGTTGACATTGCGGAATTGATAACTGAAGATATTGAAAATTATGCAATTTTAAATCAAGATAAATATGACTTCAGAATCAGCCTCAGTGTCTTCTGGCTGACTTATTTTCTGTCTCTTTTTATTGTAATTCTTATTTCCAATGTTCTTTATTTATTATAGATCAACTTAAGAGGTCTCGATGGTATCCAAGGCCCTGTCTATGTGGGTACGGGATGTGTCTTCAACCGAACTGCATTATATGGCTATGAACCTCCTATCAAGAATAAGCATAAAAAGAAGGGCTTCTTCTCTCTCTGCTGTGGTGACTCTCGTAAGAAGAACTCTAAATCAAGCAAGAAAAGTTCAGAAAAGAAAAAGTCAAGCAAACATGTGGATAATACAGTGCCAATATTTAATCTAGAAGATATAGAAGAGGGTGTTGAAGGTAACTCGTTTTGTTATTGCTGTTTTGAAGAATACATGAAACTTAATAATTAGCATTATTTAATATCTGACTTTGGAGATCTTGGGACCCTTGTTTGTAGCAATTTTATTTAGCCCTTCGGTTGTTTGATTTCAGAGCCATGAATTGGTTTAGGAGGGAAATGAAAAGCTATCTAATTTGTCTCTCTGCTTAGTAGCAGCACAAGGCAAAGAATATTTTTCAATATTCTTATAGTTTATTTATAGTTATTTTTCAACTAACATTAGCACACAGTGGTGACAAAATTCCCAGCACCAAACTGCTGGCCTATACGTGATATATGGTGTACGTTGAATGTTGAGGATTCATATTGTGGTCCATGACAGCAATTTATCAATATATATTGTTAGTGTAGAAAGGATAGTATAGAAAGGTTAGAAAGGTTTCGTTATATTAAGAGACCAAACAATCATACCTTTTATTTGGCAGTTCCACAATATTTTAATAAAATACTGCTGAATAGCGACTATGAGCACATTGATCTATCATGGTAGGGTATAAGGACAAAGGGAAACATGTATTAATGTGAGATCTCGGTACCCGACTAGTGATATTGCTCTCAAAAGAGCATAAATGCAGGAAAAAGGTTCATGTAGCTGATCCCAAGTGGCTGGATCCTTATTTGTTTTTGTTTTATGAGATCTCAATACCTAGACTTAAATCAGAAGCAACATTATATATATTCCATGTTACCCTCTTTGCAAGCTAAATAAGTCATCTATCTGCTGACACTAAACTCATGGCATTCTGTTTATTCTGAAGAGTATTGCATAATTCATGAGTTTATTGTATGCAATAGCCTTATTCTAGTGGACAAAGTACATCTTCGAAATGTTCTTTATCTGCTGAAACTAAGCTTCTTGTTTTCTTTTTAAATAGGTGCTGGATTTGATGATGAAAAATCACTGCTCATGTCACAAATGAGCCTGGAGAAAAGATTTGGCCAATCAGCTGTATTTGTTGCCTCAACATTAATGGAAAATGGTGGTGTTCCTCAATCTGCAACTCCTGAGTCTCTTTTGAAAGAAGCCATCCATGTCATCAGCTGTGGCTATGAGGATAAGACAGACTGGGGTAGCGAGGTCTGCATATGGCTCTTCTTTATATGTGCTTTTCTTTTACCCTTCAGATACACTATTGTGCCTTACCTTCTTCTGAATGCCAAAGTTTACACACATTAGTCAGTCAAAAGTATTTAAAGTTCGATCAGGAATAATCTCTTCACATGAATGAGACCTTTAGAAAACAGGAGTTCTGAAAAATAAGCATTGACATCATTTTGGTAATTGAAACTGACAATTTAAATGGGCATTAGCTAGATTACTATGACTTGGCAAATCCATTCCCTTTTAACATCGAAAATCTAACAGTTTGGAGCATAATCACAAGAAGTTGAACTTGGCATTAAGATAACGGTTGCATCTTCCACAAAATACAAATAACTTTTAACACACAACACCTTGATAGCTGGCTTGAAGTAGATGCACTGTTTATCGAGGCTGCTGCTTGTACAAAGTAATGGACTTTCCCTGAACATAGTCTGCAACAAGATCTCAAGGTGGTGTGGCTGAAGATTTGGATAGAACCTGAACATAGTCCCCACAAGGACAAAGTATTTGGATATAACCTTTAAGATATCTTTTATTTCTGAATTTTTGTGGTGTGGCTTAGGAATGCTATAATTTATGTAAGTGCTAAGGTGGCATGGGCTTCTGCATTATTTGGGGACTTAGTCAAAAGAATCAAGTTACTGCTTTCAACCAAAAGAAGCCACCTGCAGAGCATATAGGATGCTTGTTTTCCAGTGTACAATGAAATGAAATTCATAGATTTTAAGAGGCCATCAAAACTTTGTTGTTTAATTGTATTTTACTCCACAAAAATTGGGAACTAATGTAGACCCTGACATTCTTTAAGTTTGGCACCTGGTTTCCCCCCTTATCCATACCAGTGATGGCTATAGGCATAACTTAAGTGATTGTTCTCTTGTCATAACAAGTTATTTCTATGAGCTCTGCAGTTTAGTCTTATGTCCTTGTATTTTTTTTATTATGTCCTTGTATTAAGATGCTGGATTTTTATCTGGTACCGCAGATAGGGTGGATTTATGGTTCTGTGACAGAAGATATCCTGACTGGATTCAAGATGCATGCTCGTGGTTGGAAGTCAATCTATTGCATGCCTAAGCGTCCAGCATTCAAAGGTTCTGCTCCAATCAATCTTTCAGATCGTCTGAACCAAGTGCTTCGATGGGCCCTGGGATCCGTTGAGATTCTCTTTAGCCGTCACTGCCCAATATGGTATGGCTATGGAGGGCGATTAAAGTTTTTGGAAAGATTTGCATACATCAACACCACCATTTATCCACTCACTTCGCTTCCCCTCCTTTTGTATTGTACGCTGCCGGCCATTTGTTTACTTACTGGAAAATTCATTATCCCTCAGGTAAAAACATCTCCTCGTTTAAGTTTTTGCTAATTCTAAAGATCAATAGGTCCATCACCCTCGAGCCATCTTTTGCGGCTGGCACTAATGTTTGAATAAGATCCATCATTGAATAGCATTATGCAGTATGCACATAAAGTCACCTGCATGTTCTCAGACATTTCATGAACTTTTTCTCTTTTGGGATAATATTTTTTGCTATAGGCACAATTTTTCTCTTGTTCAGATTCTTAAAATTTGAAACTATTGAAAATTAAGATTCTTCTGATAATAGCCAGATGAAGCTAAGCATGCGTGGTATCAATATCAACTGGGCACTAACCAACTTTATTTGATTGCAGATTAGCAACATTGCAAGTATCTGGTTCATCTCTCTCTTCCTTTCCATTTTTGCCACTGGTATTCTGGAAATGAGGTGGAGTGGTGTTGGGATTGATGAATGGTGGAGGAATGAGCAGTTCTGGGTCATCGGTGGTGTCTCAGCCCATCTCTTTGCAGTGTTCCAAGGTCTACTCAAGGTTCTCGCTGGTATCGACACCAATTTCACTGTTACTTCCAAAGCTTCCGATGAAGATGGTGACTTTGCTGAGCTCTACATGTTCAAGTGGACCACCCTCTTGATACCACCAACCACACTTCTTATCGTGAATCTGGTCGGTGTGGTCGCTGGTATCTCCTATGCCATAAACAGTGGATATCAGTCATGGGGTCCCCTCTTTGGGAAGCTCTTTTTCGCCTTCTGGGTGATTGTTCACCTGTACCCCTTCCTCAAGGGTCTTATGGGAAGACAAAACCGCACGCCTACAATCGTCGTGGTCTGGTCCATTCTCCTTGCTTCAATCTTCTCCTTGTTATGGGTGCGAGTTGATCCTTTCACCACTCGGGTAACTGGACCAGATGTGCTGCAATGTGGTATCAACTGCTAGAACATCGATCATGATGTTCACTTATATCTCTTTTATCCGGAGACTGTTATTACTGTACAAGTATGCATGTCAAATATCTGAAGATGTATGCCTTGTTTGACCTATTAAGTTATCACTTTCATTTTTTTTAGTTTACTACTTTTCTTTTTGTTGGTGGCTGTCTCAGCTGTTGAGATAAGTTTGTATTTGGCATCGATATAAAAATCCACTGTTTGCTAAATTAAGCATTACAATTGAAATGGATTGAAAGGCCTAATGTAGCTAAAGCTTGTGTATGGTCTAAATATTTATTTTCCCTTACCCCAGTTTGTGCTAATCTTTGTCATAGTGTTACAGATCTACTTGGGAGTCTAATCACTATCTGGTATCATGGTACTCACTCTTGTCTTTTCCTTGAATGTTGCATTGTCTCAGATTGGGCTTCACTGATTCATTCAAGTATTGTTCTGAGAAATGTCATAGGTTTTCTGCATACATATTCTGATGGTAAAGCAGACAAAGTTACTCCATCCTCACAGCCTGATAAATCAAATGCAGAACCCAAATGGTTGTGTTCTTGCATCATCTTTCCAATCTTCTCAGCCAACCCTACTAGGTGACTCTGGAAGTTATCAAGCATCTGTCTAAAAGTTGGTTCTCATGGATTACACAGGACCAACATGTCCAACAAGTTTGACAACCATAACACATCAATCACCATAAATTATGTATTAATCCTTTCTTTGGTTTTTAAGTTTTTCCTCTCTCTCTCTCTCTCTCTCTCTCTCTCTCTCTCTCACACACACACACACAGATGGGAGAGGCCAACTTTGTCCATTCTGGTACTCAATCCAACCATAACATATCAGCATGTGGAAGAATGAGAAAGCAAGAAACATGTACTTGACCCTATCTTGAAAATTTTCTATCAATTAGTATTTTGTTATATTAGGTTATGTTCATATAATACTTTGTTACTTAAACAAAATTTATTGCATATTTCATGAAATGCAAACATCTCTTTGTAATCTCCCATCACATCACATACCCTCAATTAGCTGTATATTTCCTCATGGAACATATCAGAAATAGCAATATATATATATACATATATTTATATGTATATATACATAGCCTGTCATATATATAGTACATACTGTTACCCATTGAAGTAACAGTAGCCTTTAACCCATTGAACTACAAACTTGTAATGCTTAAATGACATTGTAATGCTATTTACTTGTGGCATATAAGTTTCCAGGTTCTGAGCATTTAATCTCTCACAGCAGCAGCAGCAGCAGCAGCAGCACCAACAACATTGCTTCCTGGAACAAACATATGGCAGGCTAATTCTGAAGCCTTTGCCAACTAAGAGTAGGAGAAAAGCCACAAGAACTGTGCATCTTCTTCCCTCCCTGAAACTTGTACCTAAAGAAGAACAAGAGGCAAGCAATAAATGAGATATGGGTTGGCAAGTAATCCAAACACACTTGCGTTTCTTTCTCCTGTTTCTCATCTCCATACCCATGATCATGATTCTGATGATGATGATGGAGGGAGGCCAAACTTATGGGTTGAGTGAAAACTAATCCTTCTCTGCCTCTCTCTCTCTCTCTCTCTCTCTCTCTCTCTCTCTCTCTCTCTCTCTCTCTCTTCACCTAGACAAGCAATCCTCTATTTGGCGCACATTATAAGTACATCTTCAGAGCTCTCATAGCACCGAAGTGATTTTTCTTCTGTTCCTACTCCAAAAGCTACAAATGAGCGAAGGAAAGCTTCTTTGGCTCCTCACTCTCACCATCTTCTTCCACAGCCGCTCTCTCCATGGCAATTCAGAAGGCAGACTTGCTTCTCCATCAAACTCTTGCTTCGTCGATGATGCTGAAGAGTGTGATGCCACTATACATGGCTTCAATGGATCGATCGTGGGGTTCCCTGGCTCACTCTTTAGACCTTTGCCTTCTCGCGGCGTCTTCAACGTGGAGGACTACGGCGCCAAAGGTGATGGAACGGATGACAGCCAGGTATCAGAATTCTATAAGATCTCTTCCCGAATTCTTGATTCCAAGAGGCCATCTTTGGAGTGTCGCACTTGTGGTAGGCATTTGGAGAGGCCTGGAGAGCAGCTTGCAACTCCTCTTCCTCGGCTGTTCTGCTGGTGCCGGAGAACAACAAGTACATCCTAAAGCCAGTCGCCTTCTCCGGCCCCTGCAGAGCTCATATGACGGTCATGGTATCTCCATAACGATGCACCTCCTCTTCCATCCACAGGCATGTCTCTGTCTCTCTCTCTCTCTCTCTCAGCGTCGCTAATTCGTGTCAGATCAAGGGAACACTCGAAGCTTCTTCGAACCGATCGGACTGGAACGTAGACAACATCAGGCACTGGATCCTGTTCGACGGCATTAGGAACCTTGTGGTACGAGGCGGCGGAACCGTCGACGGCAACGGACACGTTTGGTGGCAGCACTCGTGCAAGCGAAACACGTCTCTGGTAATCACGGTTCCAACTTGATAAGCTAAAGCTCATCCGAAGAAGATGACTCGCTGACTTGGGTTCTTCTTCTCTTCTTCTTCCAGCCTTGCATTGATGCGCCGACGGTAAGTAGATGATCCAACACAGCGGTGTGTCGACAGCTGGTCTTCCTATGGGCATCGAACTCATACTTGTGTTGGGATTACAGGCCTTGTTCTTTAGTTCCTGCAAGAACTTGGTAGTCGAGGACCTCGTGGTGAAAGATAGCCAGCAAATGCATGTTGCGTTCCGGAGATGCACCAACGTGAAAGCTTCCAAGCTGACCATCTCCGCCCCTGAATCCAGTCCTAACACCGATGGAATTCATGTCAGTGGCACCAAAAGCATCCTCATAAAAGATACCATCATCGAAACAGGTAGAGAACCTGCAGACCCATACCAATCTACAGAGACAGGTAAAAGATCATCGTCATCATCATCTTAGCACAAAACTAATCCGCAAAATGGTGCAGGGGATGACTGCATATCGATCGTATCGGGGTCGCGAAGAGTGATCGCGACGAGAATAGTGTGTGGACCAGGCCATGGAATCAGGTGTGTGAGACTCTTAACTTCAACCTATACAGTGTTCATCATCTTCACATGAGCACCACCACCACCTACTAAGCTTGCTTTAAGCTTGGAGGAGCGGGTGCCATCTAACACAGGCTCTGCTGCTGCTTGATCTGGTGACCAGCATTGGGAGTTTGGGAGCTAACAACACCAGGGCACACGTATCCAAGGTGTTGGTGGACAAGGTCATATTGAAGGGCACCACAAATGGTGTCAGGATCAAGACATGGCAGGTAAGAAGAAGAGGGCGATCCATAGCTTAGAGATAGATATGTTACCTGCATCCTCCTGGCATGCACTCATCTCTGTTGCTTGTCTTCTGCATCACATCATCCGACCTCTGAAGCTTAACATCCATGATCAGTGACAAGGTATATATGTGTTGCCTGTTATCTGCACATCTTTAAGCTTGCAAGTGCAGCTCTCTACTCTCTCTGTTCTTGGAACTGCTTGAAAGGAAAAAATACATACAAAACAAATTAAAATAAAAGGCAGAAATTTATGATAATGATGGAAAACATATTGGTAATAGGGATTTTTATTCCATCAGCAATGAATTATGCTGCATTTTGATTAACCAGAAATACAAAGGTGAAAACATCTCATGTCAAATGATGGGAAACTTTTTTGTATGGTGATATATAGGGAGGGCATGGTTATGCCAAGCACATCATCTTCCAGAATGTATTCATGCATGATGTCCAAAATCCTATAATCATCAACCAGAACTACTGTGACTCCAGAATTCCTTGCCATGAACAGGTAGGTACTTGTACAACTCGACATGTATATAGATGCACATCAGGTAGCAAAAGAATAGCTGATCATTTGGTTTAATGCAGAACTCGGCTGTGGCAGTGAGCCGTGTGCTTTATAGGAATATTAAAGGAACGAGTGCTTCGGAGTTGGCCATGGAATTCGACTGTAGCAGAAGTCATCCCTGTCGTCACATAGTGTTGCAGGAGATCGAGTTGGTGGGAGAAGGTGGAGGTCCTGCAGCAAGCTTATGTAGGTATTTCAAGTGGGAAGAGATTGGGAAGATCATTCCTGCTCCATGTGCCTGAAACAAGCAACATCAACTTGACATTCTAATTTGGCTAACCTTATTGTAGAAGAAACATTTGAGAAATCATTGAAACATATAGTCAATAATACATGCTCTTTTTTCCCAGAATCGAGGGGAAAATGAGCTTCTTTCTTAAACCAAGTTTCCTGTTTCTTCCATCTGATATACGCGCCCAGTAGACTTTTAGAGAGAGCCATGCTAACAGTATCAGTAACATGGATGAGAAAAATCATACAATCAATTCTGTGTCTCATAATATCATATCCATATGATAATATCACGATAAGATTGTTCCTCTGCAAGAGGGATATGAAGACACAGACATCTTGGAAGATATTGAGAAGTGGCCAAACATGTTTAGCAAATACAGGAGGAGAGCATCAATTGCAGTGTTGCATGTTTGAACAAAAAGATAATATGCTCAGAAAATTTGGCTATATAAAAGTATGGATATCATGAATCACAAAATTGTCGCAAGAAGTCCTCAGACCACCAATAAGGAAAATTCAGCAAAAAATAATAGCACAGTACACCGAGTCCTTAACACTACTATAAAGCATCCTACGCCTCAGCTCTCTGTGTTTTCAATAAGTATTGCTTTGGTGGGCTTCGCAAGCAAGTCCGTGTACTCCTGGAAGGGAGATTTGCTGAAACGAGTCTCCATCCAGAAATCTGGTGTCAGGAATCCGTAGGTCTTCATGAGACACTCAAAGGTGGCCTGCGGAGAAGTAAGAAAGCTTCAGATTACTTATATGGAATGTGCAATGTGCATACATACAAACATCAGTAGTTACTGATAAATTCTATAAAGACCAACTCATCAACATATCTAGTCCATTTGATCCCAGAACATCAGGAGATTCCAGCCGCGATACATCATTTATGATAAGACGCCAAGCATAGAAAAGAAAGAAAAATCACTGAACAAGCCAGAAGACTTATTGTATTCCTGTAGTTTTCCATATCTAACTAAGTTTAGCACTTCCAGGAACAACATCAATGACCAAAAGTAAATCTTTAACACCACAATGAAAACAAGCATATTAACCCATTATATATATACATGATACCAAACAGAAAGTGACTAGTAAACATACAAATAACTAAATAAAAATGGGAATATCAAATTGAGATTTCAGGAACATTACTAGAAATTATAATTTCTATCCTTATGGTGCATTTTGATTAGCTATTATTGATCCGATAAAAATCTTCAAACTAAGGGAAGGTGCTCGGTACAGTAGGATCGCCACGAGCAATAAGACCAAAACACATGCATCTCAATCTACGTCAGTTTAATAGCATTCTTGTTAATCCTAGTATCCTACTAAATTCAATCAACAAGCCTAAGCCCCTCTGCTCCCAGCATTTCTTATGAAATCCTAAATTTAACTAAACACCATCAGAATCAAAATCCCACCTTAGACTTCAATTATAATTTATAACCTTATGGTGCATTTTGATTAGCTATTATTGATTCGATAAAAATCTTCAAACTAAGGGAAGGTGCTCGGTACAGTAGGTTCGCCACAAGCAATAAAACCAAACACACATAGATCTCAATCTACATCAATTTAACAGTATACTTGTTGATCCTAGTATCCTACTAAATTCCATCAACAATCCTAACCCCCTCTGGTCCCAGCATTTCCTATGAAATCCTAAATTTAACTAAACACCATCAGAATCAGAATCCCACCTGAGACTTAACACTCTCAAATCTAATTATCCAAATTTCATTCCTCAATATCGTACAACTAAAGTTCCAAGACCCCCCATATGGTGTGAAGACTTAGTAAGCACTTGAACCAAACACACTCAAAACCACAAATTACAAGTGCATTCATGAAATTTCCAAATATAGAGTGTTATATAAAACCCTAACTACATATCTCATGCTTGAAATATTCTTTCTTGGAACTTGGGCCCCTTTTGAATCTTTTGAGAAAATCATATGATTTTAGAACCGCATAGCAAACGAGGCCTAAAAATTATAGAATTTTACTTAAAAATCAAAATCATCATTTAGATTCGAACAATGATGAAGAAGATACAAGATGCACAGATGAAATTTACATTATTGTTTAACATCGAAGATATCAATACAATTAAATCAAGAGCAACCAAAAAATCATTTTTTTTTCACTTATGGAATAAAAGGGGACTAAGAAATGATGAGTACAGTAAAAGCAAGAGAGTAGAAATACAAGTGAAAAGAATACATTCACACACAGATCATGTAAAACGTAAAAGGGGTTAATCAATTCTTGGTTCACATTGCCGTTCAAACGAATGGCCACAACCATAATTCTTCCCATGAAATAAAGTATATTAATAGTGAAGGAGAAACACTGACCTTGACAAAGTTTCCAAGAGTCTTGGTCGAACCACGAGACGAGGTGAAGACGTCCTCAATCCCAGCAAATTGGAGAACCTTCTTTGGCACACGAGCGGCCACGATCCCCGCACCCCTCGGCGCCGGTACCATTCGGACGGTGACCGACCCGCACTTGCCGGTGACCTTGCAGGGCACAGTGTGGGGCTTCCCAATCTTGTTCCCCCAGTACCCCCTCCTGACGGGGATTACCGAGAGCTTGGCCAGGATGATGGCGCCACGGATGGCGGTGGCGACCTCCTTGGCGCACTTGACGCCGAGGCCGACGTGGCCGTCGGTGTCGCCGACGACGACGAAGGCCTTGAAGCGGGTGCGCTGCCCGGCGCGGGTCTGCTTCTGGACGGGCATGATCTTCATGACCTCGTCCTTGAGGCGGCCGCCGAGGAGGGTGTCGATGATCTGGTGCTCCTTGACGGGGAGAGAATGGAGGTAGATCTGCTCGAGGCTGGTGATCTTGCCTTCCTTCACGAGGCGACCGAGCTTGGTGACGGGCACCCACTTCTCCTCCTCGTCGCGCCGGCCGCCGCGCCGCCCTCCGCGACCGCGGTCGCCTCGGCCCCGGTCACCCCGGCCGCGGCCGAACCCGCGCCCGAAGCCGCGCCCGAAGCCGCCACGATCTCCGGCCCCGCGCTCCGCCATGAGGGATGTGGAAGAGTGGTGGGGAAGAGAGAGGATGAACCGAGGAGACGAAAGACGGTGAGACGATACAGCGGCTTTTATAGTGGAGACGGACGCCAACCCTAAGGGTTCCTTCCGGGGTGATGTCACCGGTGGTGTGGTTGTTCCGGTCTAACCCTTTGGGTTTGGTTCGAGTTCGAACTTGACCGGGTTCATTTGGGTTCGAAAAATATTACCAGCTTTAGATCTCACCCAAGTCAAGCCAGACCGAGTCGGCGGCCTACACAGCACCTGGCCCGGCCCAATGCGGAACCGACCCAGACGACGGCTCGGTCCGGCGTAGTCCCAACGTATGTGACCAACAGCTATCGATCTATTGTCCCAAATGTTTGCTATGGCATGGCATATTCGCTTGTAAACGGTTCTCCACATTGTATTGACGTTACAAAAGTCTTCTTAGATCATAAAGAGGAGTAAATAATTCAATAATTAGAAAAAATAAATAAATAACTCGACGAACGCCAACCGAGTTATTTACTATCACGCCCCCGCAAGATGGTGCTCCTATCAAGGACACCAATCTTGGATCGATGTAATGTAAAAAGTTGATAAGCGAGAGGCTTCATGAGTGAGTCGGCTAACTGATCAACCGAATGGACATAAGAAACTCGTAATTGACGACGGACAACTTGATCTCGTACAAAGTGGAAGTCGATAGCAATATGTTTCATGAGGGAGTGGAACACCGGATTAGCGCACAGATAGATAGCTCCGACATTATCATAATATATTATAAGAGTAGAGTTGATGTTGAGTTCTTTGAGCGGATTTGTGACCCAATTGAGTTCTGCAATGGTAGTGATGATACAGTATTCAGTTTCGGTTGTAGACCGTGCAATTATCTTTTGTTTCTTAGAACTCCAACCGATTGGATTAGTATCAAGAAAGATAATATACCATGATATGGATGTTCTATCATAAAAGTTGTCTGCCCATGGAGAGTGTTTACGAAGAAAGAGACCATGATTGAGAGTCCCCTTAAAATATCGCAGGATTCATTTGACCATAGACTAGTGCATAGTGAACGGCCTCTGCATAAACTATGATAATTTGTTGACTGCAAATGAGATGTCAGGATGGGTAAGAGCTAAGCACTGTAGGAAACCAACGACTTGTCGATATTGAGTGGGTTCTATAGTAGGACTTCCATCAGATAATTTGAGAGAGCCACTAGCAAAGAGAGGAGTTATAACCACATTTGCGTCCTGCATGTTTGTTTTGGATAATAAATCTTGAATGTATTTTCTTTGTGATAGAAAGAGACCGAAAGATGTGAATATAGCCTCTACATCCAGAAAGTAGTTCCATGGTCCTAGATCTTTGAGCGAGAATCGATCTGCCAACTTTTTGATGAACGCTTGGATTTCTATGGGGTTGTTGCCTGTGACAATGATGTCATCCACATATACCATAATATATATTGTGTCGTAATGGTGTTGTCATAAAAATAAGGAGGAATCAGATTTGGAGTTGAGAAAGCCAACTGAAGTCAGAAAAGAGTCAAGTTCAGTGTACCAAGCTCTTGGACCCTAATAAAGTCCATAAATAGCTTTTCAAAATTTGCAAACATGCCTTAGATACTGAGGATGAGTGAAACCAAGAGGTTGCTGCATAAAAACATTTTCAGTTAGAGTCCCCTGTAAAAATACATTATTAATATCTAATTATCATAATTACCAGCCTTTAGTGGTGGCCAGACTCAGGATAAGTCTGATTGTAGTGGGCTTAACAACGAGACTAAATGTCTAAGTGAAATAAACTCCAAATCTTTGATGAAATCCTTTGGCGACGAGGCGTGCCTTATATCGGGCAACAGAGCGATCGAGGTTCCGCTTAATTCAAAAAACTTACTTACACCCGATGATGTTTTGTGTATGATGAAAGGGTACTAGATCCTATGTTGAGTTATGGAGGAGGGCATTATATTCCTCACACATGGTGGTACGCCAATGCATAGATTTTTGGGCTTCAGTGAAGGTGGTGGGTTCAACAATAGTGGATGAGGAATCCATAATAACATGTAGATGAAGGACTTGACGTGGTTTGAAAATACCACTTTTAGAGTGTGTTGTCACGAACGGTCGTTGTGCACCCACAACAACTCCATTCAACGAACCATTTATCACTCTCATCTACATGTACAACTGCTTGATAGCCTGTTTTGACTTAGTTTTAAGTCCTTTTGGCTTGTAAAAATGTAAGTTCGAATAAGTTGCAGCGCTACAGTATGATTGCTCACCGAACTGAGCAAAACAGCCCCAAATTTGTCCAAAACAGCTCCTTTTCGCATGCCACGGGCTGTTTTCTGTGGCCCGCTGTTGCACGTGAAACGTTAACCATCTCAGCACCCTGGAACCACCTGGGTGGCACCATGGGGTATGGGGCTTCGGTATAGTGTCGGGCGTTGAACAACCTTTCGCAAGTTCGCATGTTGCCTTTACAGGAACTTATTGTCACGCTCGGCACCCAGTGAGTAGTTGTTTGTAGACTTGCAACTGTTTGTTCAACCCTCTAAAGTTATTGTTTTCCTCCTCTCCCTTTTTTCTCTTGTGCACGTAAGGTGCTCGCTGAATTGCTTTAAAGCTTTCCCTTTTCGCGAGACATCGGGACTTGTCCGTCACTCATTCTTCGAACTAATCAACTTTTTTTTTTACATGTCCTTTAGGACCTGCAAGAGGTTGCAAGTGGGCTGATCTTTACGGATGCAAATGGCAAGGGCGAAGCGCGACTTAAGCAACGCAAGCTAAGTTCGCATCTTTGCCGCAAGGGTGCCTCGCGACTTAGGCAACGCAAGCTAAATTCACGTCTTTGCCGTAAGGGTGCCTCACGACTTAGGCAATTCTAGCTAAGTCTGTGACATTGTGGTATCAAAGCGAGCAAGCACTTTGAGTGAGCAGCAAAGAAACTTCGTAACTTCGCCATGGCAAAGCATCATGGCGAATCAAGCAAGACGGGGCAAGCCAGACCCTTGCCCCAAGCAACCGCAGGTGGGCTATAGGTGCACACTCGCTCTCATGCTGTTGGAGCTGCTCAGGAGGAGCGCGACAGTGAACATGATGAGCAAGAAGTTGGCCACTCTCTGCGAGCGGAGGAGGCGCAATTTGGAGCTCTAACTGGGAAAAAGAGTCATACGGAGAGACTTACAACGGTGGAAACCCGCCTGGATGTTCTTGAAGCGAGCTTGGAGGAACTCTACCTTGGCCAATGAATGCTTGTTCAGGTAGAAAGCTCGCAAGAAGAAGCGGAGTCTAGGATCGACAAGGTTGAGGCCCTAGTCGACCGATTATTAGATGACACCAAAGACTCCATGCAACACCCGCAGGAAGTTATGATGGAACTCACTTCAAGGGTGACCATACTCACAAGAGCACTAAATACGGGAGGAAGCAACACCCACGTTGCGCCACCATAAAACTTGAGGGCACCCGAGCCTCATGGTTATGGAGGGGCTTGAGATGCCAAAATGCTCAAGAATTTTTTATTCGACATGGAACAATACTTTCGAGCTACGAGGCCTGATTATGAAGAAACCAAAGTTTCTATAGCGACAATGTATCTGAACGGAGATGCAAAACTTTGGTGGCGAACCCGTTGGGAGGAGATCCAATAGGGTCGGTGTCAAGTTGACACATGGGAGGACCTGAAGTGAGAGTTGAGAACTCAGTTCCTACCGGAGAACACAGAGTTCATCGCAAGAAGGAAGTTGAGACAACTCCACCAAAATACTTCCATTGGAGACTACGTGAAGCAATTTTCTGTGCTAATGCTGGACATTCAGGACATGTCCGAAATGATAAGCTGTTCAGCTTCCTCGATGGTTTGAAGTCATGGGCTCAACAAGAACTACATCGAAGGAATGTCGCCGACGTGATCGGGGTAATTGTTGCCGCAGAAAGGCTCACCGACTTTATTTCCTCCGAAGATCCGGGAAAAAGAAAACAATCTTCAGGCAATCGCCCTCCAAAATATTCTCGAGGGAAGGAGCTCGGGGGCGAACAAAGGAAGAAGAGTTCCCACAAAGAGCCAAGCCCGAAAGGCAAGGCCTCGAAACCTGGAGGATGCTTCTTGTGCGGAGGTCCACACATGGTGAGGGAGTGCCCACAAAAATAAGCACTCAATACTTTAACAACTTTCATCCACCATAGTCAGTCAACTTGTCATAAAGTTCTTCAAAGGAGATTGTCGACTCGCGTGCCCGAATTATAGCCACAAATTCCTTATAGTCGTCTCTAAGACCATTTAGGGTATGGATGATGATCTTCTCATCACATAGGGAACGATCTATCAAAGCCAAGTCATCGATGATAATTTTGATATTTTGTAGATAATCAATGATAGTACTTCCCTCTTGTTTGGTCACCATCAGCTTGGATAGAAGACTGAGCTTATGAGTATGCGAATGATTCACCAATGTTGTTTACAGTTTAGACCACGCATTGGCAGCAGTCACACATGCATAAATCAATAGAGCGATGGATCCAGCAACTGAGGCTTGAATAGCTTGGAGGATAAGACGATCTTGACGCAACCATAGTTTGTGAGCTGGATTAGGCACTGGACTAGGTTTTCTAGAGATGTTGAGCATGGATGAAGGACAACTGAAAGAGCCATCAACGTAGCATAGTAAATCGTATCCAAATAAGGTATTAGAAAATTGAACCCGTCAAGACGCATATTTGTCATCTTTGATAACTTGAAATGGATTAGCACGACAGCATTGATAGAGATAAGCCATTTAGGAGAAGAACCATGAGTCCCTACATAAAAATTAGAAATAAGCCATTTAGGGAAGACATCCCGGACTTTTTTTTTTTTTTACAGAAGAACTTCACGAAAGATGGAGGAAATGGTTGAAGAAGTCTGGGAGAGAGGGAGGCTTCTCAGGATGTGAAATTGGGAGAAGAAGAGAGGAAGCAGATCTCTACTGCTGCAGCTACTGCAGAGCTCTACTGGAAGGCTTCATACCGTCAGCATGCGTAAGGAGATCAACGAGCTTCATCTAAGCTCCAGGAGAAAGGCTGCTGC